GTTCACTCAAAGTTTGTTTTAAACTACTTTGATTCTTACTCTCCCATTATGAACATCTCAACGATCCGTGCATTATTTGCACTAGCCTCCATTCATAAGTTGCAAGTACATCAATGGATGTTAAGACTGCATTTTGAATGGAGATCTAGATGAGGAGATCTATATGAGAACAATGGTACAAGAAATTTCATAAAACTATACTTAGTTTTGGTTTTGTTGTGAATGGTTCGGATGCTTGCGTGTATTCGATGATGTTTGATACTGATTGCGTCATCATAAGTTTTGTATGTTGATGACATGTTGATTTTCAGTTCTAACATTGAGTCCATTAACAAAACAAACGGTTTCTTGTCCACTAAATTTGAGATGATGGATCTGGGAGAAGTTGATGTAATCTTAGGAGTCAAAATTACTGGAAAGGGATTTCTTTATGTCAAGCACACTATCTTGAGAAAGTGTTTAAAGAAATTTGACAGTTTTGACGTCGTCCCTGTTCGAACTCTTGTGACACTAGCATATATCTCTTTAAGAATAAAGGAAGTAGCGTTTCCCAAACATAATATGCTAAATTAATCAGAATTTTAATGTTCTTAAAGAACTATACTCGGCCTGATATTGCTTATGCTGTGAGTAGACTAAGTAGATATACTCATAATCCGAGTGGTGAGCACTGGATTGCTTTTAAACGCTTACTGAAGTATCTTAAGGGTACTTTGGATTGGAAACTTGAATTTGTTGGCTTTCCTGCGGTACTAGAAGGATATTGTGATGCCAACTGGGTTTCTGATAATGATGAGGTAAGCTCTACGAGCGGGTATGTTTTTACTTTGGGTGGAGCAGCAATCTCATGGAAATCATCAAAGCAGACTTGTATTGCTCGTTCTACCATGGAGACAGAGTTTATAGCTCTTGACCTAGCTGGGCAAGAAGCCGAGTGGCTCAGAAGATTGTTAGCAGATATTCCGTTGTGGGGAAGACCGACTCCTTCAGTTTCATTGTTGTGTGATTCACAAGCTGCGATATGTGTGGCTAAGAACCAAGCTTACAATGGTAAGAAAAGACACATTCGCATAAGACATGAATCAGTTAGACACTTAATAAAGAATGGAGTGCTCTCTTTAGAGTATGTGAAGTCGGAAAGGAACCTAGCAGATCCGCTTACCAAAGGGTTAAGTCGGAAGCTGGTCCTAGATTCGTCGAGGGGGATGGGCCTAAAGCCCATTGGTTGAGGAATTCATGGTGGATACCCAACTTAGTTATCTAAGTTCCATGTGGTCAAACGAAACCATGGAAAGACTCATAGTGCACATTCCTACTACCTATCCCTATGATGAATAATGTGCATGCCCAGGATGAGCTTAATTGCTCTTAATAAATTCATAGCCCAGGCTTTGGGTGGTCTTAGTGAGAAAGACTTGATGAATTACCGATTTTGGTTGAATATCTATTCTTAATAAGTTCATAACCCAGAGTTGAGTGGGTAGTTCTAATCGCGAAGGACTAGATGAACTTACCGTTTGAGAGGATGAGTTTTATTAAACTCTTAATGAATTCAAACCCAAGAGGTTCCTAGTGAGAAGGACATATTGAATGGGAGTTCCTAGTGAGAAGGACATATTGAATTCACCGAATTATGAGGCTGAATATTATTCTTAATGACTTCTTATCCCAGAGTTTGGGTGGTTCATTAATAATGAACTTGAAGAAAGTCACCATACTCTTTGTGAGGTTGAGCTATTATAAAAGCTCTTAATTATTTCATAGCTCAGTTTGAGTGGTTTATGTTGATATAAACTTGATGAAATAACCTACGTAAGTGAGAAGGATTAGCCACCTTCTGAAAAACGTTGGGCCGTTTTTCTAGTACACTTATTAGAATCCTGAGGAAAGAGGGCTAAACATATATACGTTTTTGTATATATTCTTTGTAGACACATCGAGAACTTTGGTGGATGAAGGGGTTAGTTGTGTGAGTTTACCCCAATCTTAGAAAGTTCCAGACTAGTTTCACTTATCTAAGAGAAGGATTGCTCATCATCACTATGTACTAGTTCCAGATACGTTCACTAGTGCTTAAACAACAAATCTCGCTATTGCTCTTCTCATGTTTTTACTTCATTGCTCTCATCTTTACGAAAGAATTCTTTCGCATTAGTGGGGGAATGTTGGTAATGCTCAATTTGTAACAGTTTTTAAAGGTTTTTAATTCTATGTTTAATAGAATTAAATTGTGATTTGGAAGTGACTATTTTGCCCTCACTATTTAGCCTATAAATAGAGGGCAATTTCATTCACTTTGAGATATCCCAAGCAAACATTTGCTTTGAAACACTCCTATCTTTTGAGTGTTGTTTGAGTTGAGAGAAGAGCAATACCACCAAGTTCACTCCAGTTTTCGGGTGTACGAATTCTTGGAGAGCCGTGTTAACCTCAGGGGGTTGTTCGTCCATTGTAGCGATTACACACATCGGGGCGAATTTGCTTCTAAGGCAGTGGATTACCACGACACGGTTATCATTCTGATTGATTATTTTATTTAATATTTTCCAGTCAGTGCTAACGCCTCGTTTTGCAGCAATCTATTTTACCAACACTGATGACATTACTTTTCTTGGCGTTTTAAAAGCTTGTAGCCATTCTGGATTAGCTGATGAAGCATTGGATTATTTTGATAGAATGCATACGGATTACAAAGTTGAAGCAAGTGCTGATCATTATTCGTGTTTAGTTGATGCATTGAGCAGAGCAGGGAGGTTGTATGATGCTTACAAAGTTATTAAAGAAATGACTGTGAAGCCAACTGCAAAGACTTGGGGAGCGTTACTTGGTGCTTGTAGAACTTATAGAGAAGTTGAATTGGCTGAGATTGCTGGGAGAGCTTTGTTTGAGATAGAGCCGTCTAATGCAGCCAATTATGTGTTATTGGCTAGGATATATGCTAGTGTTGGAAGATATGAGGAAGCTGAGAGAATGAGATTGGAAATGAAGGAAAGGGGAGTGAAGGTAGCTCCTGGTAGCAGTTGGATTTAAATGATCAAGACCAACGAAGTTTCATGGATTTTCTTGTACCCTTTGAGAACTAGAAAGTATGATGATGTTACATTGAGCGCTTCCTGCTGCATCTGTAACGGCTACCATTGCCTCATTGGGAAGCGCTTGCTTTGGATCCTAGTGATTACTTATCGTCTATATCTACCTATCTTTCACCAGTCAAAGAAGCTTTTAGAGGTGGAGGAGGAAATGTAAGGCGTAGCTAGCCACAGAGTTAGCTCCCAGTGCCATCATTAGGAACAATTTTGGCCATTGGAATCCATCTTTTTTCTAAATTGACTGGTTCCGGAATTTGACATGGATGATAGTATGAAGGCAGGTTATCTATTTCACACATTGTTTGTAAGGAACTAAGGATAGTACTCTTTTTGTCTATTTTCAAATGACTAATAGTGGGACTTCGTTCTTGTGCCAATAAACCTTCACTACACAGATATATTTGCCACAGATGGGAACCATGATTATTCAACTGTGAAGGTATATGGTTTCAGTATATCCATAAAAAATATAGCCTAAATAATGTCTCGTGTTTATAATAAATCCGCTTTGCGGTCAGCTACTTACCTAGCAAAGTGCATCATTTTGCTTCCGGTTCTGTCCATTATTACTTGCAGTAGCTTTCACCCAAAAGCAAGAGAAAAGCTCGTCTTATTTTTGCATTTGCAGAGAGAAAGTTTAACCAACCGGTAACATATACATATGAATTAATACTATAGCCCATGACAATAGTTATGCTTTGCATCCTGAAACCCCAATCTCTACAGCTGGAAAATACAAAAGGAAAGAAGAAGAAGAAGAAGTGAATCACTTTTTCTCACCATCCCCTTCTGCAAGACTCAGAGCCTGACGAACAGAGTTCTCTGTTTCTTCCTCCATACTAAAGTATGGTTTCCTTCCCATCAATTCTGCCACTCTTTTGGCTGGCCCTGAATCCCGAGGACTTTCATGCCAAACCCTCACAGTCCTAATCTTTGGAAGAAATCATTGATCTTACCTATTGACTGCGGTGATTCTTCCTTTAGAATGATCACTTCACTGGGAATTTCCCACTTCTTCTTCATTCTGTTCTCACTCTTTTCATTCTTGCACGAATCAACTATCCGTTCATTTGAAACACACTCTTATCGTGCTTGTTGCTCTCCTGCTTTGAGCATCGCTCACCGTGAAACTCACATTGCTCTGATTGGGAATCTGATTGTACCTGCTACCGACGGCTCTCCATGTTTCAATGGTTTCCTTGCCGATACTGGTTTTTCTCCATCTTTGAAGAGCCTTTTAGGCTGAATTGTAGAAAGAACGCCTCTTCTTTCTTCACCGCCCTTTTAGCCCCCACCGTTGTTGCTGCCGGCTTAGGAGCAATGACCTTGTAAACAGTTTTACGTGACTTAGGACTGAGACTCAAGCTCTTGCCTCTCTCTCTTGTAACCCTGCCTTCATCAATATCTTGAAGCTTAAAGAAGCATGATTTGCGGCGACTCTGTATTGACTGTATGGGGGTTATGAATTCATGCTTCATGAATGCCTGGATTTGTTGCTGAGAAAATCTCGTTGGACCTAAACTAACCCCCCTTCTATTCAATTTTGGTTTAGCACTTGAAAATGAAAGATCACGAATCATTTTACCGTCTCCAGATTCTTGATGCTCTGTTTTGGCTCCATGAATTTGGCAGGCACATCCCTTCCTCTCATGGCGATACTTCGTGCACAGTATTCAGCTTTTTCAAGTCGAATTGCTTCGAGTTTCGATGACAAAGGAGAGACCTCCTTCTCTATCTCTTCAATTTCCATATCGATCTTTTCTCATCACGCTTCTTGTCTTGTTCCTTGCAAATCCCACCCTTTGCTTTCGTAGAAAATGACTCTTTGGGGTTTCCGGTAACATTTTTGGAACTAGGCTTTACAAGAGACGTAGTGAAAAAAACTGGGGATTTTAACCAAAGAGGACTCTGGTTTTCTTTGCTTCCATCAGATTTCAGTGACTGATTTACCGACCCAGAATCAAGATTACAGCAAAATTTTTTGACGGCGTTAGCATCTCAGCCTCCCCATTGTCGAAGGCCGCATTGTTCCAAACTTGAAGCTCTGGAAATTAAACGAATCTGGATATTGAAGAATATTCATCATTATACACTTTAAATTGAGGAGAAACTGAAAACGAAACAATAAAAAGAAATTGCAGTTTAGAAATCAATGTTTGAAGGATTTTGGTAAAAGGAATATGAATTATGGTCTTGGGATATATAGCCGTTGCGCAAAAGTAGACATCGGTTGAATCTCAGCCGTTAAATCGATTACGCTCCACGGCCGCTCCCATTTGATTTAAAGATTATTTCATTTAAAAAAAATCATTGTATCGCTGTAATTAAATTATACTTAGACGATTTTTTTACGGTTGACCCCCCCCCCAAGGGCCAAACATCTTTATCTGTGTTTTGCTTATTATACGAGGTGTTTAAAAATATCAGATCTAATGATTTTTTGATCTTAAAAATTAAATAGTTCTCTAAAATTTATTCGACCCGAATAGGGTATCCAACCTGTGATTTTTTTTTTGAGTAATTAGATCATGTTGGGCTGGAATTTTTATAATCGACCACCTCAACCGACCGATAATTTTAATAGATATATTATAACTTAAATTTTAAATTTTATGTACTTTTAAATTTTAAATTTTTTAAAAATATTTTTATTAATTTATCGATGAGATTCAAAAAAAATATCCGATTAATACTAATACTTTTAATGTTTTCTTTTAAAAATAAATTTTAATATTCATATATAGGAGAAAGTATCATTTTAAGATGTTTCTATTTGAGTAGTTATGTTTGTATGGTACATATTTATTATTAATTAATTAAAAGTTTAAATAAATATTATCACATAATCGTCAGATTATTAAAACAATAAAAATTAAAATTTGAATATAAATAGTAAAATCCAACGTCATATAAGATATTATTGCTTTAACCAACAACTTTATATAATAGAAAAATCAACTTTTTAAAAAAAATACTTTTTCTTCTTTATTAACTTTGTAAATTTATTTTTATTTCATTTGAATGAGTATACTAATATGCGATGGTTATGGGTCGATTGGGTTGGATTTTTGGTCCACCTGAGGCTCGAGAACAATAATTTCCACCCGAGATCTGATTCGACTGACCAAAATAAGATTTAACCCGATTAAAATCCAACTTGATATATAAATTAAAATCGATCTGACTCGACCTAAAAATAATAAAAAATATTAGTTTTATTTAATAAAAACAATTATTTAATTAAAAATAATAATATATAAAAAGATTATTATAATTATTTTTAAATATACGATAAAATTATATATTTTTAAGTCGAATTGGAGTAGTTTTCACCATAAAATCAAATCAAACCCAAACAATATATTAAAAAAATCTAACAACTCAAACTCAAACTCAATTTTTTAAATAAAATCACGACCTGATCAGGTTGTGTAGGAACATGTCGGGTTAAGGTCGACCTTAACCCTAACCCTAAGTATGCCTCAATAGCGCTGCAACGTGGGATTGCGAAATAGAAACACGTACTACAATATTCTCACATAATATCAGTGCGTGGCAAAGGATTGCCCGTCTCGGAACTTGAAATGAAGCCGCATGACTTCACAAATTTGTCCTTTTTTGATCCCTAATACCACATTACCACTGTATATTTCATTTAATCAATGATTTAAATGGACGATGAAGTCATAAAAGTCCAAGTGTGTACAACCCACCAAAACCATCGACTGTTTCCAGCCACTGAAAACCAGGAGGCACAGCAATAGCCTGTGGTTTCTTGCGTGTCCTATATATACATGAACCCCCCTTCGCTTAACAAAAATATCAAAATCCCGTGTATCTTTCTTACAACATCTTCTTCATTCTCAATATTCAAGAATCAAGGAGTAGTTGGAAATATGAGTTCAAGTAGCAGAGCATGGATTGTTGCAGCTACTATTGGAGCTGTGGAAGTACTGAAAGACCAAGGTGTCTGCAGATGGAACTATACCGTAAGGTCGGCCGTGCAGCATGCCAAGAACCATATCAGGCCTGCTTCACAGGCCAAGACTCTCTCTTCTCAATCATCAGCTGCGATTTCAAAGGGACTGAGCAAGGATGACGCTTCTAAACAATCAGAGGAGTCGTTGAGGAAGGTCATGTACTTGAGCTGTTGGGGTCCCAACTGAATCGTTTAACTAGCTCATCAATCTTTACAAGAAAACATCCTTTGGGTGGTGAAGTGAATGGTTAACTACTCGTGAGTGCAAGCTTTGGTCATTTTAAAGAAGACTTTGATCTTGAGGACTGAACGAACAAACTGAGTTGGGGAGGCATGCAGGGTTGGGTTGAGGACTACAAACCATATATTATCTTATAAGATTATTTTTTTACTGAAACCATATATTATCTTATAAGATTAATTTTTAATATTCTTTTCTGCATATCCATTTCCTGTATTCCAAAGTTTTATACTAAAAACCATATATTATATTTTAATATGAAATTATGCGTCCATTCATATGGATAAGATCTTTATTTATGTAGCACGTCCTCTTAAATAAAGACAAATATTAATTTAAAAATATTTTTTATTAAAATTTAAAAAACTAATACTCAATGCTTACCGGAAATTATTAAGGCAAACCACTGCCATTTTCACTCAACGAAATCCCATTTTTGCCCCAGTCTACTTCATGTCATCAAGTGGTTTGATATGGATATTTAAGTCATAGTGTTCCAAGCACGTCCAAACCACCGGCTCAGAAAGAGAAACCATTGGCTGTTTCCACTCACTCAAAACCACGAGCCACACAGCAATAGCCAGTGGTTTATTTTCCCCTTTCCTATACATACAAGAAGCTTCATCGATTATCCCCATCAACGAAATACATCAAAATCCCGTGCATCTTTCTGACACCATCTTCTTCAATATCAAGATACAATAATCGAGTATTTGAAAATATGAGTTCAAGTAGCAGAGCATGGATTGTTGCAGCTAGTATTGGAGCTGTGGAAGCACTGAAAGACCAAGGCGTCTGCAGATGGAACTACACTGTAAGGTCAGCCGTCCAGCATGCCAAGAATCATCTCAGGTCTGCTTCACAGGCGAGAACCTCTCTTCTAAATCCTCAGCTGCGATTTCAAAGGGACTGAGCAGGGAAGACAAGTCCAGACAATCGGAAGAGTCTTTGAGGAAAGTCATGTACTTGAGCTGTTGGGGTCCAAATTGAGCTATTTTTGGGTGAATCATTGACTCAAGTTTGATCATTCAGATCAAAGTTTTGAGGATTGAACGGATCAGCACGGTGGATCATGGTTTTCAGCTTTCCATTGGTTGGTCTTGTCCGTATGATTGTATATAGTATAGAAAAAGATGTAGGAGAGGAATATTTATGTATCGTCGAATGTAACAAATGAAGGGATTTTGAGAATTGCTTGCTTCTTATCTCTGCTTCAGTTTTCTTTCTATCGTTTTCTTCAATTCAGGGATAATTAGAAAAAGGACGATTGAAAAGCAGAAGATAAGATACAACAGTGTCGAATAACCATAATTATCCCTGTAAGCTTAACTATAATTATAACCATTCCAACACTTTCTCCAATAATCTTCACAATTTTACACTGCTATCAGTCCATACCAATCTCATAATTCATATCAAAGACCGATTCAATAGCCAGAGGTGGTAATCGAGTTGAGAGTTGTTAGGAAGTTTGGATTGATCTATTTTGGGTTCAGATTTTGATTGGATTTGGTTGTCTTGAGTTTATATAGTAAGGTAGATTAAATTGCTAGGCGTTTAGCACAAACCTGTTTTGCCTCAGCTGTATGTATTAGTTCGTTGTATCGTAGAGTTGGTTGTGTTGTGATTCGTAGAGTTGCTTAATTACCAGGACTAAAATTGTAATAGAAAAGAAGTTGCAAAGTGGAAAGAAAAACAAGTAAACTGAAACAGGGACATGGATTGAAGGAGAGAATAGCATGAAGAATGAAAAGGAAAGCAATTCTCAAAACTCTTTTCATTGAGTTGAACATACGATGATAGCCAAATATTGCTCTTTTTCTAAAGCTATTTACAATAATTATGCAAGCAAGAAACCACCCATGCCATGCCCAAACCTTCTTTGAAAAGACTATGAAAGGTTGCAAAGAATTGATGAGATGAGAGAGTAAAGGGTCAGTTGGGACCCCAACAACTCAAGTACATGACCGTCCGCAAAGACTCTTCTGATTGTTTAGACTTGAGTCCTTTGGAAATTGCAGCCGAGGATTGAGAAGAGAGAGTCCTAGCCTGAGAAGCCGATCGGAGATGATTCTTGGCATGCTGGAGGGCTGACCTTAGAGTGTAGTTCCATCTGCAGATGCCTTGGTCTTTCAATGCTTCCACTGCTCCAATACTAGCTGCCACGATCCACGCTCTGCTACTTGAACTCATCTTGTAAATAGGATAAGTTTGTTTAAGAGAGATGCACTGTGATTTTGCTGTTTTGTTGGTGGCAAACTGAAAGGGGGCTCTTATATTTATAAGGAACCCAAAATTTAGGGGAAAGAGAAACAAAACCAGAGGCTATTTGCTCATGGTTTTGGTTCGGTGGGCGGATAGGTTGGATGCATTTGGTGGATATGACATAAATGCCCATGTAAACTCACTTGATGACAACAAGTAGATGAGGGCAATGAGTGGGATTTAGAATAATATTCAGTGGTAAGATGATAAAAAATGGGTAGTGGGCACATGGGTTTAGCTTGGGGGAGTACGAAAGTCCACACCATTTGTGGTATTGGGAAATGGAAAACAGGCTAAAAGTTTGGAGGAAAACATTTTGGTACATGTTTCTTACCTCATCACTTAGTAGTGGTACGTGTTTACACGTTGTCTTATCCACTTTGCACCAGGATCGGTTGACAGACTTACAATTCATGCAAATAAATATATGAAAAAATATCAATTATTTTACTGTGTCAAAACATATAGAATCCAACATATATACAAGTAAGAATCCTCGTTTTGAGAAGTAGATTGGGCTAGGAATATCAATAGTGACTTTTTGTTGTTGAGAAAAAAAATAGTGATTTCATTAATAAAAAATAATGAAAAAAATAAGAATTATAATCTATACAAGTATAGAGAAAATAATGGGACAATAATCATAAAAAAACTCATAAATATTAAATATAAAGATACGTAGAAAAGTGAAATATTCTCTTGAAAATGACGTCTAACATTAAAAGAACCTTATAATCTTTATAAAAGTTTCTTATATCTGTCAGATAAGATATTTTACGAAGTGATAAAGAAGTGATGAATGAATCGAATTATCTGACAGGCTACTTCGCTATACAGTTTTGATTATATCGATAAACAACCTTTTATAAAAAAGATGATCTGACTATACGTGATCATTGATAAACCAATAAAAAATAAATGTAATGTAATTTTTTATGCTAGTACCAAAACGATCGCAAAGGTATGCAAGAAGCATACCAAAAATCATAAAAAAATCATAAAAGTAAAAAAAACGTGTCATAATAATAATGATTATTATTCAAAATTAAAAAAACTCAAAACAAAAGAAAAATAAAGTACATAATATATAAAACAAGAGAAATAATAATTATTAATAATCGATAATTAATATTAAGATTACCGTAAACAAAAACCAAAGGGAAAGAATGCAGTAAAAATATTGAGAGAAATCTAAGGATTTATGTTTTATACTTTTTCAACATACAAATTATGTTGTTGAATTTCGATAGTAAATTTTGATATTAAGTTTGAAGAGATTTACTTAAAATATTTTAAATTTTAAAGCCTCGATAGAATTTTTTAACATTCTGAAACAGTCATATCTTATACGTATTATATTTATATTATGTTATATTTCAATCAAACTTGTATATACTCGAATTAACCTCGTACTTATTTTAATTTATAACAAAATATAAAATTTAGGTATATGTAATAAATTTTGATGAATTGTGATTGGGTTTGAACCGTTGAGTTTATAGAATATGTCGTCAATAATTAAGAAATTTTTTGAACGTACACTATTTTATAATTATTAAGACTATTTAGAAAATAAATTTTGATACATATGTATATACATATATAATTAATTGTATATTTTATATTTAGGTTATGAAAAATTCTATTTATTTTGTCTCCGATCTGAAGGGAAAGCTTTGTTAGCCATCTGGAAATTGATGCCAAATTATGTGTACAAATTTCAGACTCCCTCGTCATTTTGAAGCACTAGAACCTAACATAATACAACTCTGAATATATACAAAAATATCAAAAATATAAGAACCATATGTATCGGAATTAGTAAGGACCCCAACAGCTAAAGTACATAACTTTCCTCAGAGGTTCCTCAGCCTCTTTTGGTTTTTCATCTCTAACTTCGCTAGGAACAATCGAAGAAGAAGAGGAAAGGTTCTGGCCTGAGAATAGATCTGAGATTATTCTTAGCACGTTGGTCAAGTGACCTTATTGCATGACTCCACCTACAAAACCCTTGGTCTTTCAAACCCTCTACGGCCCCAACACTTGCCGCTATAAACCACGCTTTGCTTCCTGCTCCCCAACTCATCTTTACCTCAAAAAGATTCTCTTGTATCTTGTATGCGTTGCTTACACTCCATGCTCAGGCGCAGTATATATAGAGAGAGATTAGGGTGATTGATAGCCGTTGGTTTTATTGTTTAATCATCCAAAGGAATTTGTCTTTAGCGATCCGTTATTGCTGCCGGCGTTATGTACTGATCATAATACACGCAACCCGAGTGGCAAACCTCGTTTGGCCCTTGGTTTTGAATTTTGAGCACCTTGTAACTATGGACAAGACGTAAAGTTAATGTGGACACCAAAGTGACCTCATTTTACAGAAATAGATGGTTGTTGACATATGACAACCTTGGTTGGTTTTGGCTATTACTCCGTGCAAAACAAAACAAAAAATGAAGACCGAACGAATGGCGTCTGATTGTCCATCCAATTGCGGATACAGGGTTGCTAACGCCAGGAACTAGCCCCTGGAATGCAGCCGATCAAGAGGCTGGTGCATAGTCATGGGCAAATATTTTCGGACTTGGTTCAAGGCCCATAATAGATATAAGATTATGTGATAAAATGATTCACCATACTATTCTATTTAAATCATGTTACACACTTCAAATAAAAGGTAAACTACACTCACGACCCCTTAACTATGAAAATATTATGTTTTGAGCATCGTTCTTTAAATTTCATCAACCAGACAACTTAACTACTTATGTTACCAATTAAGTCACATGTCATTAACATTTAATAGAAAATTGACGTATTAGTTAAAAATTAGTATATTTATGTATTGGTCCATATTACTTATACATTCAATTAGTTTTATCCTAATTTTAATTTAATTCAATAAATTTAATTATCCAATAATATAGTAACATATGTCATCACCTTTTTAGAGTGAAAATAAATTAATAAATTAAAATTAAAAAACCTCCTCTCATCAAATTTTTAACTGTCATATCAGCTCCTCCGTTGAATGTTAACGATAGGTGGCTTGAATGACAATGTTTAAATAGTTAAATAATCTAATTGACAAAATTAAAATACCGGTGGTCAAAATAATATCTACCCATAGTTAAGTGGTTATGGATGTAATTTATCCTAATATAAAAATCTATAATCTAATTTGAAGGAGAACCCATTAACTACAATTATCACATGCAATATAAAATATATGGTTCACTTGTAAAACAAATAAGACCATTTCAATAGAAGATTGCATATACAGGTATTTAGGGGATGAAAGAGCGTAAGTCTAAAGGGATGATGGAAGGGGCCAAGGCTAATTACGAGAAGGAGATCAGGCCGGGATCGGAACTCGGAGAATCGTCAACTCAGGTGGAATGGATCTCAAACTCGGGGTCGGGCAAAAGACAAGCAATGAAACAGGATGAGTTAGATGATAAACAGAAGCTAAGGGAAGCAGAGAAGGCTGAGAAACTCATGCATCTCATCTGCTTCGGACCTTGTGTAAACTAGTTTCTCCTCTTATGTATGTTTATATGTAAGGCTGTTACTTTCAAATATTTCTCTTCTTCTTCTTCTTCTTCTTCGTCTTCTTCCTTTGTGTATGCGCCGAAATCATCGTGCGTGCTTTATGATTTGAAAGATTGTTAAAAATCTTCTCTATGTAGCTGTTTAGATGAATCCAAATTTTCATTCTTCATAGTCTCTGTATCATTAACATCGCGACATCATATATACAATCCATTTCAACATAGCACTACGAGTATGGGACATTGAATACTGCAACCAAATTATTGCTATTATCTGGATTCAGATTTCTTACAAATTTCTTTTCCATTCGTATAAACGGAGATTGATTATGTATCCAAAACTGAAGTTTTAATTTTTATAGGGCTAAAGTATAAATTTACAACCGTATTAATTTATAATTGCATAATTTTCAAAGGGACTAAAGTAAAGTTTTACCCTTTCTCCGAACCTGGTTATTTCAACCATGAATTTGCATCCACTAATTTTTCTGATTGGAAGATGTGGCTGAGGTACACCAGCAGGCAGGACATGGTTTAAAGCAGTCCTGCAAATACCAGATATAGAGTTGGATAAAAAGATGTTACGTTTTGATATTTCTTGAATAAGTGGCTGAGTTGGGTTTGAGTTCATTTCTCAAATAAATAGCGGGTTGGGCTTTTAATTGGAAGAACCAGTCCACGACATTATTCGCAAACAATGGTTCGAGCCACCTTTGTCGTGGGCTGACACGATATCCAGAGGACTCGAACGCTATGAGTTCAAGTCGGGAAGAGTTTCTAAAGAATGTCGTCATAGGGCACTAGACTTATGTTTCTTTGCGGGATCGGTTGATACTTAGATAAATAAATGTTTAAAGGATAATTATAAAAAAAAAGTAGTAGGGATGTCTTTATAGGACATTCATATAGTGTTCGTTTATTAAGTTAAAAGAAACAAAAAATACTTATAAAAGTAAATAAATAAATACAAACACAATCTTACTCGTTCAAACCTAATTCATTTATGTCCCTATATATAGCTCACATATGTGGGCTGATCCAGGTAGGATCTCCCCAAAATACATCTAGAGCCTTAAATGGCTGTCCCTTATTCTCATATGTAATGGGATAAAGGGGAAGTAAGATAGTAGGCTGGCCTCAACGCTAGGTTTAGAGCAACTCTCGTAGGAGACCTCCAAATTATGAAAATACCTTCTATGAGACTCGATCCCACGACCTCAAGGTTAAGAACCTTATGTTCTACCAACTGAACTGGAGCTTTTTCTATCTAGAGCCTTGATTCTTGTAATATAAATAATAAAAGCTTTGAGTTGACCACATTTTAAGCCACACAATATATTATATACACACACTACCCACAAAAATCGTTATCGTATAACTCTTTCCTTATCTCTCACTCCGTCACTCGTCCACCAACTGGTACCAACTTCAGCTAACGCAATTTTAGCAAA